TGTTATTTATTTTGCTAATTTGCACCCCAGTATCATCTTTTGCACATCTATCATTCCGGTGTTAATATGAAATTGTAACTATTTTGCACTATGGCCTATTTATTGCCTTACCTCCATAACTTACTACATTCGCACACACTGTATATATATTTTCTGTTGTATTTTTGACTTTGTTTTGTTTACCACATATGTAACACTGTTGAATTTTATCGCACTGCTTTGCTTTATCTTGGCTAGGTCGCAAGTTGTAAATGAGAACTTGTTCTCAACTGGCTTACCTGGTTAAATAAAGTATATACGTGAGCGATATCTAAATCTAATTGGGACTCCTGCTGAATATACATGTACATATACCGTACCAGTCAAAAGTTTGGACACCTACTCATTCCATTTTTATTTTTTATTTTTACTATTTTCTACATTGTATTGAAGACATCAACTATGAAATAACACATATGGAATCATGTACTAACATAAAAAGTGTTAAATCAAAATATATTTGAGATTCTTCAAAATAGCCACCCTTTGCCTTGATGACAGCTTTGCACGCTCTTGGCATTCTCTCAACCAGCTTCATGAGGTAGTCACTTGGAATGCATTTCAATTAACAGGTGTGCCTTGTTAAAAGTTAATTTGTGGAATTTCTTTCCTTCATGCATTTAAGCCAATCAGTTGTGTTGTGACAAGGTAGGGGTGGTATACAGAAGATAGCCCTATTTGGTAAAAGACCAAGTCCATGTTAAGTCAAGAACCGCTCAAATAAGCAAAGAGAAACAACAGTCCATTACTTTAAGACATGAAGGTCAGTCAATACGGAACATTTTAAGAACTTTGAAAGTTTCTTAAAGTGCAGTCGCAAAAACCATCAAGCACTATGATGAAACTGGCTCTCATGAGGACCGCCACAGCAAAGGAAGACCCAGAGTTACCTCTGCTGCAGAGATTAAGTTTATTAGTTACCAGCCTCAGAAATTGCAGGCCAAATAAATGCTTCAGAGTTCAAGTAACAGACACATCTCAACATCAACTGTTGAGGAGACTGTGTGAATCAGGCATTCCTGGTCGAATTGCTGCAAAGAAACCAATACTAAAGGACACCAATAAGAAGATACTTGCTTTGGCCAAGAAACACGAGCAATGGACATTAGACCGGTGGAAATCTGTCCTTTTGTCTGGATTCCAAAATTAAGATTTGTGGTTCCAACCGCCGAGTCTTTTGTGAGACGCAGAGTAGGTGAATGAATGATCTCTTCATGTGTGGTTCCCACCGTGAAGCATGGAGGTGGTGGTGTGGGGGTGCTTTCCTGGTGACACTGTCAGTGATTTATTTAGAATTCAAGGCACACTTAACCAGCATGGCTGCCACAGCATTCTGCAGCGATACGCCATCCCATCTGGTTTGCGCTAGGTGGGGCTATCATTTGTTTTTCAACAGGACAATGACCCAAAACACACCTCCAGGCTGTGTAAGGGCTATTTGACCAAGAAGGAGAGTGATGGAGTGCTGCATCAGATGACCTGGCCTCCACAATCCCCCGACCTAAACCCAATTGAGATGGTTTGGGATGAGTCGGACGGCAGAGTGAAGGAAAAGCAGCAAACAAGCGCTCGGCATATGTGAGAACTCCAAGATTGTTGGAAAAGCGTTCCAGGTGAAGCTGGTTGAGAGAATGCCAAGAGAGTGCAAAGCTGTCATCAAGGCAAAGGGTGGCTATTTGAAGAATCTCAAAAAATAAATAGATTTTGATTTGTTTAACACTTTTTTGGTTACTACATGACTCCATATGTGTTATTTCATAGTGTTGATGTCGTCACTATTATTCTACAATGTAAAAAATAGTAAAAAATAAAGAAAAACCCTTGAATGAGTAGGTGTCCAAACTTTTGACTGGTACTGTACATACAGTCCATTCAGAGTATTCAGACCCCTTGACTTTTTCCACATTTTGTTACGTTACAGCCTTATTCAAAAAAAAATTTTTTATTTTTTTATTTTTTTTTTTTCTACACAAAATACCCCATAATGAAAAGTGAAAACAGGTTTTTAGAAATTCTTTGCAAATGCATAATTAAAATAGCACATTTACGTAAGTATTCAGACCCTTTTCCTTTGGCATCGATTACAGCTTAGAGTCTTCTTGGGTATGACGCTACAAGATCCTTTCAAGCTCTGTCAGGTTGGATGGGGAGCGTTGCTGCACAGCTATTTTCAGGTCTCTCCAAAGATGTTTGATCGGGTTCAAGTCCGGGCTCTGGCTGGCTCAAGGACATTCAGAGACTTGTCCCAAAGCCACTCCTGAGTTGTCTTGGCTGTGTGCTTAGGGTCGTTGTCTTGGCTGTGTGCTTAGGGTCGTTGTCCTGTTGGAAGGTGAACCTTCGCCCCAGTGTGAGGTCCTGAGCGCTCTGGAGCAGGTTTCCATCAAGGATCTCTCTGTACTTTGCTTTGTTCATCTTTCCCTCGATCCTGACTAGTCTCCTAGTCCCTGCCGCTGAAAAACAGGTTTCCCTATTCCCGTAGGGCTCTGGTTCGAAGTAGTGCGCCAACGTCGGAACCCAGTACTATTTAGGATCCGTCCCAAAAGGTAGAGATTGAGTTAACAACGCCACAGATGTCTCAAGTTGACGGAGTGTGCAGTGCAATTTGTATGCTGACTGCAGGAACGTTCACCAGAGCTGTACGTCCAACCGGCCTCACAGCCACAGACCACGTGCAGTTTGCTGATGTCAACGTTGTGAACAGAGTGGGGTTATGGGATGGGCAGGCATAAGCTACGGAAAATTAATACAATTGCATTTTATCGACATCTATTTGAATGCGCAGAGATACTGTGACGAGATCCTGAGGCCCATTGTCCTGAGGCCATTCATCCACCGCCATCACCTCATGTTTCAACATGATAATGCACAGCCCCATGTCGCAAGGATCTGTACACAATTCCTGGAAGTTGAAAATGTCTGTTCTTCCATGGCCTGCATACTCACCAGACATGTCACCCATTGCACGTGTTTGGGATGTTCTGGATCGGCGTGTACGACAGTGTGTTCCAGTTCCCCTCCGATATCCAGCAACTTCGCACAGCCATTGAAGAGGAGTGGGACAACATTCCACAGGCCACAATCAAACCACCTGATCAACTCTATGCTAAGGAGATGTCGCGCTGCATGAGGCAAATGGTGGTCACACCAGATACGGACTGGTTTTCTGATCCACTAATGACCTCTGTACACTACCTAATGACCTCTGTACACTACCTAGTCACCTAATGACATCTACACTACCTAATGACCTCTGTACACTACCTAGTCACCTAATGACCTCTACACTACCTAATGACCTCTGTACACTACCTAGTCACCTAATGACCTCTGTACACTACCTAGTCACCTAATGACCTCTACACTACCTAATGACCTCTGTACACTACCTAGTCACCTAATGACCTCTGTACACTACCTAGTCACCTAATGACATCTACACTACCTAATGACCTCTACACTACCTAATGACCTCTGTGCACTGCTTAGTGACTCAATCTCTCCTGCTTCCTCTCTCTCTCTCTCCTCTTCCTGCAGTGCGTTTGTCATGGACGAGTTCAAGAGGAAGTACTCTAACGAGGACACCCTGACCGTAGCCGTTCCCCACTTCTGGGAACACTTTGACAAGGAGGGCTACTCCATCTGGTACGGAGAGTACAAATACCCAGAGGAGCTCACCATGACCTTCATGAGCTGCAACCTCATCATGGGTGAGATGGCTACCACAGCCAACCATAGGCTGTACACACACAGGTCTACACAGCCAACCATAGGCTGTACACACACAGATCTACCACAGCCAACCATAGGCTGTACACACACAGATCTACACAGCCAACCATAGGCTGTACACACACAGATCTACACAGCTAACCATAGGCTGTACACACACAGATCTACCACAGCCAACCATAGGCTGTACACACACAGATCTACCACAGCCAACCATAGGCTGTACACACACAGATCTACACAGCCAACCATAGGCTGTACACACACAGATCTACCACAGCCAACCATAGGCTGTACACACACAGATCTACACAGCCAACCATAGGCTGTACACACACAGATCTACCACAGCCAACCATAGGCTGTACACACACAGATCTACACAGCCAACCATAGGCTGTACACACACAGATCTACCACAGCCAACCATAGGCTGTACACACACAGATCTACACAGCCAACCATAGGCTGTACACACACAGGTCTACACAGCCAACCATAGGCTGTACACACACAGGTCTACACAGCCAACCATAGGCTGTACACACACACATCCACATCTCCCACTGACCCCATGACCTTCATGAGCTGTAACCTCATCATGGGTGATATCTAGAATACACAGAGCCATACCTCCATACACATCCGACTCCAGCTAATCATGTAGAAAGGAGTGAAATGTGGATGTCATACTGTAAGTTACAGTTATGCAAAAATCTCTGAAGCTGGAGACTCTTATCTCCCTCACTAACTTTAAGCATCAGTTGTCAGAGCACCTTACCGATCACTGCACCTGTACACAGCCCATCTGAAATTAGCCCACCCAACTACCTCATCCCCATATTGTTATTTATTTTGCTCATTTGCACCCCAGTATCTCTATTTGCACATAATCTCTTGTACATCTATCACTCCAGTGTTAATACTAATTGTAATTATTTTGCACTATGGCCTATTTATTGCCTTACCTCCATAGCTTGCTACATTTGCACACACTGTATATAGATTTTCTATTGTGTTATTGACTGTATGTTTTGTTTTACCCCATATGTAACTCTGTGTTGTTGTTTTTATCGCACTGCTTTGCTTTATCTTGGCCAGGTCGCAGTTGTAAATGAGAACTTGTTCTCAACTGGCTTACCTGGTTAAATAAAGGTTAAATAAAAATAAATTAAAAATGTAGACTCGTCAGGAAAGGTCTAACTTTCACTTTTCACGCAGCATTGCGGCCAATGCGTTTAGAGTCAGGGATTCCACACGTAGGGAACATTGTCAAAAAACGGAACGTCGTAGTCTGAGGGTGTTCTAAGCTGTTTAATCTTTCAGGAATGTTCCAGCGACTTGACAAACTCCGCAAGAACGGCTTTGCCAGCGTGATCCTGTTCGGCGGGAACAACGACAGTAGCATTTCTGGAATCTGGATCTTCAGAGGACAGGACTTGGCTTTCACTGTGAGTTTCTGTTTCCCCTTGGGCTGTTTGGGGTGGAAGGTCATTTAGTAGGCCACTCTTGTCTGTTATTCCCCTGTGGGATAATAAAGTTGACTGAACTGAACAGTCTTGGAGAGACACTGGGGACCGGTTTCCCAGACATAGATTAAGAGTAGACCAGGACTAAAAATGACTAAGCTTTTTAGTCCTGGACAATATAATCTGTGTCTGGGAAACTGGCCCTAGGGGTATCAGAGAGAGGTGGGAGGGCTACTGCAGTTCTGAATTGAGAATGTGCTCTTGGAGAACCCTGTTCTACAACCATATACATTTGAGTGGATTGGTTGATCTTGTCATAGTCTCACCAAGCATTTATAAACCCTACAGGTTCATTCTTCTGTCCCAATGTTGGTGATATTAGTTCAGTGATTTATATGCTTGCGTTTAGTTGACCACCTATAATCTCTCCCTCTGTGTAGCTGTCTGATGACTGGCAGATTGATTACGAGTCTTACGCCTGGCGCAAACTGGACCCCGACAGCGCCGAAACCAAGACCATGGTCAAGGAGTACTTTGCTTGGGAAGGAGAGTTCAAACACGTGGGTAAACCCTTTAACCAGGGCAAGTGCTTCAAGTGAGCAGCGTTGGAGGATGATGGCACCATGACCGGATACGTCCTCCACTGTACGTCAACACCTTTAACCTGAGGACATTCAACACCTTAAAACTGCACTTGGACCTTCTCAAACGGATCTTCAGTTGGTGTGGATTGTGTCTCAATGGTCCAACAGAAGTGGTTGTTTTTGAGTTGACAAATAAACATGTTTTCCATAATGCCATTTTTGCGATTTGTTTTTGGTGATAGAATTCCCCCAAAAGGGAATGGTAGATTACTTTACTGTTTTTGTTGTTTTGTGGCCTTGAGTTGTATCCCCTCACCTCGCTACCCCGTTTTAGCCTGAATCTCGTTCTAGTGCCAGTCTGTTAGTGCCATTATACCGACTCCCTTGTCGGTCATTGTCATGTTCGGCTTGACAATGAGCAATGGATTTGGCAAGAGCACAAACAGATCTGGGACCAGGCTATTTCGGTTAAAACACTCATGTCATTTTATTGTTTTGGTGTATCAATCATGGAGCTGAAATCTGGACATGGGGTAAAAAAGGGTTTAATTGCTACCCATGAAATAATTGGTTGCGTACATTATAGCCTTAATGTGGTGAAAAATAAATACATGTAAAATCTACAGTCTCCTGTCCCTCAACCTCATGATTCTCCTGTCCCTCGACCTCGTGATTCTCCTGTCCCTCAACCTCGTGATTCTCCTGTCCCTCAACCTCGTGATTCTCCTGTCCCTCAACCTCGTGATTCTCCTGTCCCTCAACCTCGTGATTCTCCTGTCCCTCAACCTCGTGATTCTCCTGTCCCTCAACCTCGTGATTCTCCTGTCCCTCAACCTCATGATTCTTGGCATGCAGTGGCTCTGTCCCAAATGGCACCCTGTTCCTTATACAGGGTGTTACTTTTGAACAGGGCTTAAATTGGGCTGTGTCCTATATATATATAATCTTAGTAAATAGAGGACCACAGTATGAGACATAATACCCATAAAACCTAGCGGTGAAACGTAAATGCTTCCAATAGTTTTTCCACTATTAGTTATTCCCAGAGGGGATTTTAGAAACACTTCAAATAATGGGCTGTTTTTTCTTGCAGGCTTTTACCTTGGTGTGACGTTTTGATAACCGTGTAAATCTCACTAGGACAAGGTGACTCTTATCAATATATTCGCCTGTATTTACCCCCCCCCAAAAAAATGAAACTCTAATGTGGCTATTATGAACTAGAAATGCCATGATGATCTGGACGAGACTGCCGAATCGAGGCAAAGCTAAGAATCTCTGGATTAACTATCTGTTAGCTAAATGTGGTAATGAATAAATTGACTACATTTATTTAAACTGAGAATTCTGTGGACTGTCTTGTGCATGTTTTAAATTGACACAATACCTGTTGGAAAAGGTGTCAGCTAGAGATGGTGTGCAGGAGCTTGCAGGGATTTGTAGTTTTACATGACTACTTTGCTAATTAGCATTTTCTAATCAGAGTAAATAGAGCCCAAAATATTGATAAGTCACCTTGTCTGAGAGAGATCTACATGATTATCAAAACGTCACGCCAGGCTAAGCCTTTCCTATGGGGGAAAAACAAATGGTGGAAAAACTGATTTGGAACCATTTCCCTGTTTGTCTGCTAGGTGTTATGGGAATTATGACACATCCACTGTGAGGGATCTATACCAGCCTTTTTCCTAATGAATGAGAATTATTGCATATGATTTCATTTGCATACATTTTTATGTGCTACATGAAATCAAGCTATTTGAAAATTAATTTTATCTCATCTGGATACATTGTAAATTGTTAAAAGGATTTAGAATTTTCTTAGTAACATAAGAACAAGTAATGTCTGGAGCTAGTTTCTACACAAAGCCTACAAAATGGCAGCTTTTGGTATTTAAATGAGCCGATACTTTTTTGGGGGTAAGATGGGTGGGTCAAAATGGTGATGGTGCAGTATTTTCTTTGTCCTGCAGGGGGCGTACAAACCCTTGGAATAGATACAGTGTTTCTGAATGGGGTGGAATGGAAAGCGACTTTGGCTCTCCAGAAAACAGACGTGCCACAAATGGGATATGTTTTTCACCCAGGGCCTGTTTTTAATCCTAGTCCTATACTAAAAATAATGTTCAATGAAGATTCTCCGTGGGAAGTGTTTCTTCATCCAAGACTTGTCTTAATCTGAGTCTGAGAAACCAGCTCTCAAATTAAAGAAATGCAACAGATGGGGTTATGGTTTACATTCTCAAACTAAGGCAGGAAACAATGCTCACGTTTTATTTTACAAAGCCGTATTTATATCGGCAGTAGTCAAAACTCCAAAGAGCGAGCAAAGCAGAAATAAAATCCTTGTGGCCAGGAAACACTTCCTTGAAGACAGGAACCAAGAGGAACCAGAATGAGGGGTGGCCCATTCCTTTTGGTTAACGATTATTGTCCTTTTTCCCTCTTGGTAGTTCAATATGTATTCTAGACCTATCATGTCACTAACATTTGAATGTAAATTATATTGCATGTTTACTATTACGAAGAACACACACACGCGCACTCACAGGTTGACTACATGAACTCTGCCCTAACCTGGCCCCCTATACTTGCCGCTGCAGACTCTGAGCCCCAACGCGCCCTAACCTGGCCCCCTATACTTGCCGCTGCAGGCTCTGAGCCCCAACGCGCCCTAACCTGGCCCCCTATACTTTCCGCTGCAGGCTCTGAGCCCCAACGCGCCCTAACCTGGCCCCCTATACTTGCCGCTGCAGGCTCTGAGCCCCAACGCGCCCTAACCTGGCCCCCTATACTTTCCGCTGCAGGCTCTGAGCCCCAACGCGCCCTAACCTGGCCCCCTATACTTGCCGCTGCAGGCTCTGAGCCCCAACGCGCCCTAACCTGGCCCCCTATACTTGCCGCTGCAGGCTCTGAGCCCCAACGCGCCCTAACCTGGCCCCCTATACTTGCCGCTGCAGGCTCTGAGCCCCAACGCGCCCTAACCTGCCTTTGCTTTGATACAACCTCTGTCCCGTGTGCCAACCTCAGCCACATGAAGTCCCCTTCCAATAAGCATCATGAGTCTCAAATGGTCCCCTACACCCTTTATAGTGTGCTACTTTTGACCAGATTTGGACCCACTGTAGTTATTTTAATAATTTAATTACAATAGGCTGATGACTTGGAGCCGAGTTAAAACGTATTTTTTTCCACGAACTTGTATTGTTGACTGTAATGAATTCCCAATGGACCGTGAAGAATGAACTGACTTTACATTGAGGATAGTAATCTGTCTTGGCAGCGGACAGCTGACTGACGCTTTATGAAGTGCCGTGGGTTATGTCTGGTTCCTTTTGGCAGTGCCGTGGGTTATGTCTGGTTCCTTTTGGCAGTGCCGTGGGTTATGTCTGGTTCCTTTTGGCAGTGCCGTGGGTTATGCCTGGTTCCTTTTGGCAGTGCCGTGGGTTATGTCTGGTTCCTTTTGGTAGAGCAGTGGGTTATGCCTGGTTCCTTTTGGTAGAGCAGTGGGTTATGCCTGGTTCCTTTTGGTAGAGCAGTGGGTTATGCCTGGTTCCTTTTGGTAGTGCCGTGGGTTATGTCTGGTTCCTTTTGGCAGTGCCGTGGGTTATGTCTGGTTCCTTTTGGCAGTGCCGTGGGTTATGCCTGGTTCCTTTTGGTAGTGCAGTGGGTTATGCCTGATTCCTTTGGCAATTGCTTGAATGTTGTGCAAAGAGTGCTATACAAATAGATTTGGATTTAAATTGATTGAATGTCTTCATTCCCTGAAGAGGATTAATAATCATACAGATGAATGTCAATAAGATAGGACTGTACTGCAGGCTGTCAGTTCACTGCCTGGATAAAGGGAATTACAGGCATATTAAAGCAACTATAGCATATTTATCTTCCCCTATTTGGTATTAAGAGGGAACAGCCATCATAGAAGTGGAAATACAGTGAGGGGAAATATGTATTTGATCCCCTGCTGATTTTGTACATTTGCCCACTGACAAAGATATGATCAGTCTATAATTTTAATGGTAGGTTTATTTGAACAGTGAGACATGTAAATAAGAATAGAAGATGCTGCTGAACACGTCTACATTAATTTAGATGCTACCATGATTATGGATAATCATGGATGAATCCTGAATAATGACGAGTTAGAAAGTTACAGGGGAGCAGAAATCCCTCCCCTTGGGGGAGCAGAAATCCCTCCCCTTGGGGGTATGATCTTTGACCCTCTGTAACTTTCAGTCCCCTGAATGAGACATGAGCTCCCCCTAAATGCAACGAAAGTCCAACTTTGGGTGGGGTCTCTAATTTAACCATTCTCCTATTTGTTTAAAATTTTATTTTGTACTGCTGCACTGGTAAATATGAAAATAAAAGCTTGTTCCAAATTAAACGAACACCCCCGCCTCTGTCGTGCTTTAAACCGGTCACAGTTGGTTCAGGTTCTTTCAATCGCATTCATCTCTACTTCGCCTGTCAGCCTCTCTCTCTCTCTCTCTCTGTCAGCCTCTCTCTCTCTCTCTGTCTGCCCCGCTCTCTCTGTCTGCCTCTCTCTCTGTGTCTGCCTCTCTCTCTGTGTCTCTCTCTCTCTCTCTCTCTCCCCTCTCTTCTCTCTCTCTCTCTCTCTCTCCTCTCTCTCTGTCTCCCTCTCTCTCTCTCTCCTCCTCTCTCTCTCTCTCCTGCCCCTCTCTCTCTCTTCTGTCTCTCTCTCTCTCTCTCTGTCTCCCCTCTCTCTCTCTCTCTCTCTCTCTCTCTCTTCGTCTGCCCTCTCTCTCCTCTGTCTCCTCTCTCTCTCTCTGTCTGCCTCTCTCTCTTCTGTCTGCCTCTCTCGTCGCTCTCTCCTCTCTCTCTCTTGTCTGCCTCTCTCTCTGTCTGCCTCTGTCTCCTCTCTCCTCTCTCTCTGTCTGCCTCCTCTCTCTCTCTCTCTCTGTCTGCTCTCTCTCCTCTGTCTGCCTCTCTCTCTCTCTCTCTCTGTCTGCCTCTTCTCTGCTGTCTGCCCTCTCCTCTCCTCTTGTCTGCCTCTTCTCTGTCGCCTGCTCTCTCTCTCTCTCGTCTGCCTCTCTCTCTCTCTCTGCTCTCTGTCTGCCTCCCTGTCTGCCTCCTCTCTCTTGTCTGCCCTCTCCTCTCTCTCTCTTGTCTGTCTCTCTCTCTGTCTGCCTCTCTCTCTCTTCTGCCTTTCTTCTCTCTCTCTCTCTTCTGTCTGCCCTCTCTCTCTCTGTCTGCCTCTCTCTCTCTCTCTTTTCTGTCTGTCTCTGAGGCTCTCCTCTTTTTTCTGCCTCTCTATCTTTTGTGCCTCTCTCATGTTTCTCTTTCTGTCTGTCTTGAGGTTTCGCTAGCAAATTTGCAACATTGTTTCAACTGGGCCCTCACAGTTTCCCGTGCTGATGAGCTCGGGACAGACAAAGCTGGTTGTGCAACCTTTATTTCAGAATTCATGACTTTTATTTTGACAAAAAAGTTCAATTTGTCAGTAAGACGCATCAATGAATTCAGGCTACTAGAGTCCACGCTGTTTGGCGTTTTCTAACGGATGTCTCTTTCCCATCATCAATTGGCGGATGCACAGTGACCTGTTTGGATGCTGGGATTATTTTGGAGTGGACAAACACACCCAGCAGCAGGTAGCCTACT